CCCAGGAATGTTCTCAGATGCTACTTAATTTATGAGTATAGATGTAGCTCTGGATCCAAATCCCTGAGGAAATTCATGTTTAATTATGAGTATCAAGTAAGGCAATGCCAACTGGAAAGACTTCTCCTCCTGTCCTGTGTAACCCCAAAATGCCTGGTAGGGCCAGGCAGTACCCTGGTAGAAGCTTAGGGCACTGTTTTAGACATATGGCCTCTAAGGCAGAAAAAGAAACTTAACTATCCTCCTCAGCATCTTCTAGCTCTTCTTCCAACTAAAACATGCATATGTTCATCATATGCAATCCACTTTTATGTGCTGTTGTTGGATAATCAAACCTTTGTTTTCAGTGAGATGTCATCAGCTCTGTTTACAGGCAGATCAGGCAGAACACTGCAATGTGCTCTACCTGGTTTGCAGGAAGACACAGCTGCCTTCAAGCAAAGCTTTGACCTACAGACAGCTACAGGCAGCATTAAAGCTGATACACAACAGCCATCCTTTTCACAGAGTAAACAGAAGGCAGAGCTCAGGCTGAATGAACTGCCTGGAGACCACTGCAGGTAACTCCCAACTCCACTGGCTGCACCATCCAGTCTGGATAGAATTAAGCTATATGGTCTGAGGGTTGTTGGTTTTTGGGGTTTTTTTGGGGGGGCGGGGCACTGGCTCCATATAAATGGACAGGGGGCGGGCTTGGTTGCAAACACTGGGAGCTGAGAGCCAGGGGAAGCCCAGCAGCCAGGACAAAAAGTGATGCTGCAAGTGGATCTGAAGCAGAGGGACAGACTGTGCTGGTTCACAGGACTGGCTGGGATCGCCAGCTTGGAAACAGCACGTGGCTGCTGCTGAAGAAATTACATTCTGGGATGCAATGTGTAATCTTAAAAAATAAATAAAACCATATTAAATTTTCATGTCATATCAATAATCTGTCCTGTGAACAGAAAACATGGTACCCAAACTATCAGCTGCCTGCCTAAGTGGCAGGAACAACAGGTGAAGGATCCTGCTTTGACAGCAATGACCTGGCACGGTTTGTTTATTTTTTATTTCTAGCATCTGTCATTTTGTGGCTCTACTGAGTCATCCTGTCAAACTGTTCTGTTCCAGACTGATGATTTCTATTGTGATATGAAAGCTACATCAGAAAGATAAGAGGTCAAGCTCTTATGAAGTATATTGCCCTCCTACAGTGCAGAGATTGCATCTTATCTGCTTTTTCTGGAGTAACAGTGAACATGCCACTAGTTACTTGAAAAAGGTACTAGTAACTACTAGTTACAGTGAAAAAGTACCAATGGCACATATATGGCACCATGTCAATACGAAAGAGACCCTACACTTCACACTTGACACACAGGTGCACACACACAAATACTGAGTGCCAGTTTTATTTCCACATCAGGAAAGACCAGTGAAGAAGGAACACCAACAATAAGGTCCAAGACCTCACAAATCATATTTAGATGCACTCATACCATGAGTTACTGGCTCTCACTGAAATAGGGATGATCTGCTTTATTGAGTCTCATCATCTTGAACCTGAGCAAACCTGGGCTGAGAGCCATGCCATGTCAACAGCATGACTGCACCACAGCAAGACCTGCATCATACGTATCATGTTCTGTGCAGTGAAAAGGTACAACAATTAGAAAAAGTAGTTCTGGCAATTATTTGGGTGTATGACTACTTCTGAGAGTCCCCATCCTATGCGTAGCCAGCAAACTTGGCCGCATATCACTCATAACCGTCAAAATATCTCAACTCCTTCACAACACGCTTGCAATAAATCAAAGTGTAGATAATAGGGTATCTCCCATATTTTCCATTTCAGGAAAGAATTTTGCAATAGCAAACACACTATCAAGAAGACCACTGCCACAAAAGGCAATAAATTCTTAGAAGAACTGAGTAACGTTTACAAATGCAGTGGGTTTTGTCATGAGTAACAGAGCACATGCTGGCTGAAGGCTAGTCTGCACAGTGAGAGCACTATGGTATCAGAAGCTTGCTAGATAGTTACATGGTAAACCCCAGGTAGCCATGGTACTGGAAACACCGGGAGGGTTTGTGCTGGAAGTGTGCCTCACTTCGAATCCTCACCTGGGGGTCCGTGGTTAATAAATGGCAATATTCATTTTTAGGATATCCTGACAGTATATTAACAAATTACTTATCAAATAGTCTTGTGTACTGAGTGATCAGGGAAACAGTGGTGTCCTTTTTCCTTAATAAATTATATTTACTTTCAAAAATGTGATTTTGAAAGTACAGTTTCCTTGATATCTTCCCTAGAGTTTTAAAGTGATTTCCTATTGTAGGAAACTAATGTAATACAAATTTATCAGATGTATGGCTAGAAAAGCTAGCTGTGAGGAGCTGTGAAGAGGAGTTTAAAAATGTGTTTTATCTCAGTGCCTGCTAAAAAATACCACTAGTAAGCAAAGGCACATGGGTCATGACTTAATGCTAACCTACTCCGTACAGTAGGTTCCTAGATTAGCTGTTCCTTTAATAGCACATGTATAAAGGTAGTTCTACAGTGCTTCAATGAAAGTCCCCCTTCTGGATCAACGTATAGGAGACAAACTGTGCTGCTATAATTTCCAAGATTTTGAGCAGACTAAGGAAGGCAGGAGGGAAACCACATGCCATTCAAGGGAAGGCTCTGGATATTGGGAGGCAACAGGAGTCCAATAGGTCTCCCACTGCAGTCAGAACCACTCATTCCCATATGACCAGCACTGGACTCTCTGTCTCATGCATATTTAATAACATGGAAAGAGTCTAAAAATATGACTTGCTTTGATGAAAATGTATTGATTTGAAGTAGCTTTTGGCGGTCAATCTGTAGATAAGCCTGGAATGAGCAAACAAAATGGTTTGATATCTCTTTAAATGTAGCCTAGATTCTGACACTTTTCATGCTCTACAGTGCTTTATTTTCTCCCTTCA